CTCACCGATAGTTTATCAAAACCAATTGCTTTTAGCTTGTCAATCAGAATGGGGTGATTGACAGTGTCGAAAGCCTTTTGTAGGTCCAGCATCACCATGCCGCAGTACTTGCCCTCGTCCACCTCTTGTTTGATGTGGTCGCTCAAATAAAGAAGGCATGTGTCAGTGGAGTGGGATGTTCTAAAGCCAGATTGAAATTCATAGATTAGTTTCTTTTCCGCAAGGTACTTTTCGACCTGTTCATATACTATTTTTTCCATGACTTTCGAGATGGAGGTAAGTATAGAAACAGGGCGGTAGTTGCCTGGGTCCAATTTGCTGCCCTTTTTGTGCAGGGGGGTTACTCTTGCAATTTTGAAGTCTTTGGGTACTTTTCCCTGTTTTATGGAGAGGTTAATTATGTGAGCTATGACTGGTGAGATGGCGGTTGCTGTGTCTCTGAGGAATTTGGAGGGGATATTGTCGTGGCCAGTGGCCTTGTTAGGTTGGAGGGCGCTCAGTTTAATGAGTACCTCTGCTGTTGTTACCCTTGCTAGACTGAAATCATCTTTGCGTACCCCTAGGTTTTTGTAGTAGGTCATGATGTGATCTACTCCAAAAAGCCCTGAGTGGGAGGATAATTTATTTACAAGAGTTGTGGCTATGTTTGTGAAAAAAATGTTCAAGTACTTGGCCACATCCAGTTTGTCTGTGATGAGCCTGTTATCTGTCTTTATGTTTAAGTTAGAAAATCTCGTTTTGAGTTTTTTACTGCAGCCAAGCTGGTTATTGAGTAATTTCCAAAGTTCACAGGGTTTATTTTAGTTTTCCTCAGTTTTGACATTGATGAAATTCTTTTTGGCAGTTTTGATCATGGAGCTTACGTCATTTCTTAGTCTCTTTCTTTCAATTTTGAGTTCAGTCACGTGGGCCTGGAGTTCACTGCTCGTGCTTTTGGAAAGCATTGACTGACTTTTATGAAACTCAGAGCATTTTTTGTCTCTGGTTTTCATGGCGGTCAGTATGCCGGAGTGCATCCACGGCTCAGCGCGATTTTTTACCCTGGTTGTTCTTAGGGGGGCCAAATCATTGAGTATTGCAGAGAATTTGTTTTTGAAACCAAGCCATGTTTCTTCAACTTGTGTACCACTGAGCTCATCTGACCAGTCCATTATCGATATAGTTAGATTCCACCTTCATGATTATGGATCTGTGAGTGAATTGTTTTCTAACGCGACCCTTTATATTTATATTAGGTCTTAAAGTTTGTGCATACATTAGGGCGTGGTCACTTTGATTGACAGATACGTGCCTCACTGTCAGCTAACAGCAACTTGTCCAATCTGCTAGGCTACAACCATAGACGCTACAACGTTAGTTAGTTGTAGTTACTGTACTTGATCCTTTAGCTGTGTTCGTGGTGATCGTGCCTGTTAGGGAATATTGTTACAAATACCAGATAATTAAAATGTCGTGCTGTGCGCTTGAATGTACTAACAGATCTTCCAAGAAGTCTACTTTCAGCTTTTTTCGGTGAGTAAAATGATAATATTATACATGTTAACCCTGTTAGCAGGTGTTTGTGTGCTTGTTAGCTTAGCCTGTTATGTAGCTTATTAGCCAGCTAAGGACGTAACCCTTTATACATATATACAGTTTAGTTTATGATTCAGCCTTGGGTAAGACTTTTATACTATATGGCTATGACGCCCATAATGCTAAACGGGAGCAAATGTTAAAAGGGGTGGGCCGCCGGAGTCCACGCGGCCGAAGCTAACGGGGCTGCAGGATGCTAGCTCGCTAGCGCGTCCCGGCGGCCGTAGCTAGCACCCTGGGGCTCCGTTAGCTTCGGCCAGCGGCGGAGTCCGGCGTTATAACTGGAGATCAGGGAATGCATCATAACGCGGACTTGGTTCGCCTGCAGCCCGCTGTAGTATTAGCTAAATAAATGATGTTGAGCAAGGCTTATTAAGCTGAACACCGCCACAATTATTCTGCTATGTATCGGTAATTATTTTTATTTTATTAACGTGTGAATGACAAGCATTAAGAATAATACCAAATAGCTAATTATCTTGCAGATTGTCTCGTTTGATTATGAATGTAACGTTTATATAGTGGAACTACACTGTTTTATCAAAACCAAAGTGCCACGCAGTGACTTGGTATGCATGTATTTCAGCAGGAAATGTGCAACCGAGATGACATTTACCAACACAGACTATATAGAAATATTTGTAAAAGTTGTTCATGCGTTACTAAGTGAATATGGCATTAACCCTCCTGTTGTCTTCGGGTCAAATCTGACCGATTTACTACTTTCATCAATCATGTTTTACATTCGATTGATACTGAGAGCATGTTAGCTTAGCTTCTTAGCCTGAGCTAGGACACGAACGTCACGCTCGTTGGCAGCAGGTCCCGCCCTGTCCCTGTCCCTGGCTCCGCCTCAGCTCCGCCTCTTTGCCCTTATTTGGAGAAGGCGGGAGTTAGACTCTGACGACACCGTCGAGCCGTTAGTGGCCGACTCCGCCTACTAAGGGCTTCACGGCAACTCTGCAGAATCCTATGGGTGACGTCACGGACCCTACGTCCATTTATATACAGTCTATGGTTGCACCAAGTGAAGAGGATGGCTGCCTCAAAGCTCCCAGAAAAACAAAGAATGTTAAGAATGTAAAGAATGTTAACGTAAAGATAGTACAATGATTTTTGGTAAACATAATCTTTAAGGTATCTAGTATTGATAAATGGATTTGCAATAACTTAACTTTGTTCAATGTGGAAACAGAAAGATAAAACATAATAATAGTGACCGGCGGGATAACACAGTGCATCTAGGTATACACATTTACACATACATAGTCTGTTAAACTAATTTCTTACTGTGTTGTTTCTTTTAACCTTACCTTGAGTCAAGTTCTGGATATGTTGGATCTAGGCGACAGCCCAGATAAGGCATGCAACATTACAGTTGTCCCTCAAACTGAGAAAGATGCTTTCCTCAGTGATTGTGATAGCGATGGGTCAGATATGGACTATGAGGGGGAGTCAGGCCATTTGCCAGCCAAGCTGTTGAATGCATAATGCTGAACTTTAGCAAACTGATCATGACAAGTCTTGCAAAGCAAGCTCAGGTGCCTCAAGGTTGCAAATTCATCCATGACAACCTCTTCACTTCTCTTGGACTCCTTGATGAAATGACAAAAAGAAGATATGGGAGCTCTGGAACAATGAGGCAAAATCGTCAGTTTGATGTCCCAGTTCCTGGAACTAAAGAGTAGATCGCGTTCACACCGGAATAAATCCATGAGCGAGGATTACGCAAATGAAGCCGCTGACGTCACTTCTTCTTCTTCTGCTTTGGGTTTACTGGCAGGCCGAAAACAACTTCAGGGCGTATACACTGCCACCCGAAGTCCCGGCTAAATCGCCAGAAGCGCCAACACCTCCTCACTCCACCGCTCCCACGTTTTATTTTGTGTTGCCATAAATTAGTCTCTCTCCATTGGTGCACTGGGCTAATGCTAATGCGAGCAAATAAAATGGCTGTTTCACAAAAAAATTCGGAGTTTTAAGGGGCGTGGTTTGCAATTCGCCCAGCCAATCAGAATTTGGAACCTTTTCCTCCCCAGGAAAGTACCACCTCTCTAGCAGGGACTGAAAAGGGGTGAAAGGTTTCGCATGAACTAGGTTCTAGTTCCAGATCTTTTTGGTGTGAAAGCAAAATCCCAAGAACTATCGGAACTATTCCTGGGAAAAGTAGGCCTACTCCGGTGTGAAAGCGCCTATTGATCTGCCCACCTTCTCAAGGATAGTGGCACAGTCACTTATGCAAAAGTTTGGCACAAAACCACTGAGCCAGCCAGGGCAGGAGATCTCTGCTGGCAGCTACTGTTGAACATCAGGCAAGATATGACAAAGCTTCTCACTGGCCAATCAACACGATGCATCGGTTCCAGAGATGTCGTCACTGTGACAATCACATGACCTATGCATGTGAGAAATGCAAAGCACCACTGCACATTCAGTGCTTCAAGATGTACCATGGACAGTAGAAAGGGAACTATAAGTGAATGCAAAGAGGCTGTAATAGCTATTAAAAAAAAACAAAGCAGACCCAATAAAGGCTGTGGAGATGCAGTACGAAGGACAAGTCCATGACAAAGGGGAAAAGTCCAAAAGGACTGGATGGTTTTGGAAAATAAGTTCAAGTTAATCAAACAGTAGATTGTTGTTCAAAATAGTGATGCACAAACTAATCTTGCACTTGGTTCTAAAGCCTATGATATATATATATATTGCATTTTTGTTCAGTGTAGGACGCCTATTCAACATGCTACCTTTTCTAAATGTTACCTTTTATGTTCAATGTGAATGAATCACACAAGTGGCTATACAGTTGTTTGTGAATGTTGCACAAAAAATAACAGAAAGACAATGTTACAACAAATATTGTACTAAAGTAAAAGTTCAAATGTTACAACAGATGTATAATATTAATGTTTCAATACGTGTTGCACTAAAATAGAAATGTTGAAACACGTTGATGGTTGTTCATATTTGTGTTGTATCAGGAATTTTGATATGTAAAAAGTCTAACTAGAATTTGATGGGGATCGCCAGTGACAAGAGTTTCAAATGTGTAGATAACTAGGCTTGGATGTATACACATTTGGATGACTGCATAGGAGAAGTATGCCAATTCCATATATGTATTTTCACGGCAACAAATAATCCCACCGGTCACAATGGTGACCGGCAATACAAAATAATTTAACTACTTTTCCATGAATTTTTTTTAAAACAATGATTCATTTTTTCAAAGGGTTACTGATGACACAATATATGGATATTTTCATGTCAGGGAAAAATGTGGGATTAAAGATGTTCAGTCCTATAACTCCGTATGATTAAAGGCATCACACATTACATTAATATTTCAATTTCATTCTGTCTTGTTTTTTAAGTTTGCATATACAACATAATGCATAAAATCACCCACAAGAAAACATTAAGACAAAAGTGGAATTTTCAACTTTAATCACATTATTAACAATTCTATAAGTAATAAAGACTCAGCCCATTCATCCCTCGAACTTGATACAGTATCTGGTATTCTTTAACATAGGGAATGGTTTCCATATCCCTACAGCATAATCTTTCTTTCTGTGAAAAGTTAAACGTACGCACACAGAATGACCAACTGAATAACTTGGCACCAAGGCCATTATTTCTGTAGCTTGTTGGCTACACAAATATCAGACAGACACATGAGCAGACAAAGGACAAGCACACAGCGGGGCAGCCACTTGTGCAGGCAGTGTGCCTGACAGTTCAGTCCGAGTTGAACCGCCCCATCTGACGCTGTCAAGAGACAATGTTAAAGTCAGAAGGCATTTATTTGTTTCCAGGGATCCTCCTCTTTGTCGTGTAAAAAAAAAAAAAAAAAAAAAAATTGAAGAGAACGAAGGATGAAGTGCACAAGCAGCGACATTTTGGAGAATAGGTGGCCACACAGATCTACTCCAACACAACTGTGCCGCCTGCTGCCTCCAGGGATGCTTTCAGTTTTTCTGCCTCTTCTTTGGATACATTGGTTCGGATTTCCTGGGGGAGAGCTTCCACTAGTTTTTTTGCCTGGTGTGGGATGACAGAGGAAAAAGATGATTTAGTAAAAGGTTACCCAATCTGTGAAAACCGGAAATATGGCATTGTCATGAGCCAAATTCCAAAATATATTTTATACTTTTATTAAAAAGGTGCCCTGCGAAGTTTTCTTGAAGCTAAAGTTTCTGACCTTAGGTCTAACTAAATTGTTTACTTTATTTGTACTTGCAAAGAAAACTGTAATGAAAATGACAGATCCTTCATTGTTTAAAACAGTGTTTGCTAACATGTAGCCCTCCTCTCGGTGTGTTGGTTCCTTTCTGCATTTGTTGGCACGTTATCGCCATCTACTGTCAATCTGCAGGAATGACTGGGTAGCAGCGACGTGCAGTCAGGGGAGGCAGAGCCTTAATAATAATTAAAACTGCGGTCGCACTTGTGCGCGCAGTGATGAGCGGGCCCTCGCGTCCGTGCGCCTGTCGGGGAGGGCGGCCGGTCGTCCCGGCGTCAAGCAGACGCGCGCGAGTCCTGGGAAATGAGCCGTTTGTCATTTCTATAATTTTCGCGTCCCAGACTCCCAGGTCCTCCGGCAGCGACCCGGAAACGGATGTCGAAGGAAAACAAATTTCTCAAAAGGCTCGTCGAGGATCGATTATCGAGGAGGCTGTCTGTAGGAGCCGTAACCGAAGATGCACTGATTTAGAGGAGAGAGGAGTGTCTCGAGAGGAGCTATAACCGAGGGTACACTGACGTATTCTCCTGAGACGATTTAAGCCAACAGTGATGTTTAAAAGAGGCGTGACGCATGGCTGGACTTCTGTCAACAAAGCACAGCTCTGCAAACTGTTCCCGTTGTGATTATAAGTTATTTGAGATGATCAAATGTGCATCAGACTTTCTGCCCTTTACCATTTGTTTACTCACTAATCACATGTCCCCTGGATGTTAGGTGATGTTACAGTGAGAACAGCTGCTGAGGTCAGTGCAGAAAGCAGAACAGTGTGTATAATATATATCGCTCAATAACAAATGTAACAGGCCTACATGTCACACTTTATTTGTAGGCTTTAGGAGATATCTACAAATAAACATTAGGGTTAGGGTTAGCGAGTGTCTTTTGTAATGAATATGCCGCCAGCAAAGGGCGTTGTTGGACTAACAGTAAGTGTGTGTGTGTGTGTGTGTGTGTGTGTGTGTGTGTGTGTGTGTGTGTGTGTGTGAGAGAGAGAGTTGATGTGCCAGGCAGACAGGCAGGGCGCAGTAGCTTATCTGACATATAATTGGTCAAAAATGGTACATTCTCCGTTAGCCTTCGAGCTCCCCGTTTGAGTGAAGGACTATTCCTTCTCAACGTAGCATTACATTGGATATGCGCTGAAGTTGTCCTGGATTGGAATTTTTCCGATCATTCCCCTAGGAGGAGTTTGCAAGAATGTGCTTAAAAAGCATGAGAAACGCACATTTTTCTAAATGGCCGACTTTTTGGGGGGCGGGGCTAATGGAAGGCAATGTGAAATATGTGTGCAATCATAATAGCAATATGTATACAGCGTTTCGTGAATATCGGAATAACTATATCCGAGTAGTTTGGAGTAATTTGCGACATGTAAATCGTCAAAATCACAGTGCACTGAGATTTTTGACAAATTGTAAAGCACTTACGCATCACTGTACCCTGTATACCAAGGCGGTTATGCCATCACTTACTGTACGGAGGCTCAGTCACTGGTACTTTTTCATTTACAAAGCCATGTTGGATAAACTACCATCTTATATCTGCTCCCTGATCTCTCTGCGAATTGAAAGTACTTATTGCCTAAGATCGCATGCTGTGGTTTTATTAAATGTGCCAAGTGCTAGGACTGTCTTAGGGAAGAAAGCTTTTAGATGTGCAGCTCCACTAACATGGAACAGTCTGCAAAAAGAATGGAGAATTACCAAGCTAGTACCACTACATGTTTTTAAAGCTCGGTTGGATGCTACAAAATCAGATGCTGTTGGTACCTGTACTTGTGGTTAAATATGTAAATTGTAATCCCTGTACATTTTGCTGTATGATGTCCTTTTGTTGTTCTGTTGTTTATGTCTTCTTGTGGAACCTACTGCTGCAGGTCTCCCTTGAAAAAGAGATCATTGATCTCAATGGGATTTTACCTGGATAAATAAAGGTTTTGAATTGAATTGAATTGAAAAATGGTGTATTCGCTGTTAGCTTACGACCTCCACGAGTAATTTTTCAAAAATGTGCTCCTCAATTAAGTATCATATTGGATAGGGGTTGAACGTGTCCTGCATTGGAATTTTTCCGATCATTCCCCTAGGAGGAGTGCGCAAGAATGTGCTTAAAATGCATAAAAAACGCACATATTTCAAAATGGTCGACTTTTTGGGGGGCGGGGCTAATGGAATGTATGTACAAATATGTCTTCAATTCCATGAGGAATGTCTGTGCCAAAATTCGTGAAGTTCTGAGAAACTATGAGACTACCACACAATAGGGGGGCGCTAGTGAGCAGTTTTTTTGAAAAATTACGTTTTTTTTTTACATTCTTGAAAAGGTCGTGGGCTGTGACGTGTATACCAAGTTTTGCGAACCGAAACACATTTTAGCACATCGTCATAAATAAAAAAAAGTACAGGCCACGCCCACATTTGTCATTCGTTGTGACACTTTAAATATAAGTGCATACTTATCCCCAGAGTATGTCTAAAAAAAAAAAAAAAAAAGATTTCGTCCATCAGTTCATGTTATACATTTGTCATGTTTTTGGCGCCCCCTATAGTCCAAAATGGAAATTACTTTTTGTGCCTATTCCCCAATACAGAATGAACCTTACCACCAAAATGTGTGTTTTTTTTGTACATTGTTGATGAGTTATGAGCATTTCTATCTAAGCCCCGCCTTTTTGCGAACACGTTTAGAGTAATGAGGGCCACATTTATCGACTGAACATGCTCATTTCCTACGATAATGTGTCTGACCCTCCGGCGATACTGTATACTGAGTTTGGTGGTGAAAAACCAAAATTTGAAATTTAAGTGAATATTTAACTGTTTTTAAAATTATGCTAATTTAAAAAAAATTAAAAGTAGGCGGAGCTTAGGGGTACAAGGACATTATATGTAGAGCAGGTCCACCCGAGTAAGTGTGAAAAATGTCAGGTCATTTGGAGTTACGGTGCAACTTTGTACATCTTTCCAAAAACGGAAATGGCCATAGGTGGCGCTAGAGAGCATGTTGGACAATTTGAACACATTGAGTCCAGAATATTGTAGTTTTCACCGATTCTGGAATCTGTGAAAAATTATACAACTTTTTCAGCGTCCTAAAGGCCTCAAAAACAGGAAACGCCAGCAGAAAAATAAGAATAATTCCACGAATAACAATAGGTATCCTTGCACTTCGTGCTAGGACGCCGTTGGGTCCTAGCACTCTCGTGCTCGGGCCCTAATAATAAAATGTCTCCACTGATCTGTGTTGTAAATGTGATTTCTGTATGATTCCAATGGATTTTTATAGTAAAAATTGGCAAATTTGCCGAGCTCCGCTACATGGGAGCGATGAGAAGTGAGGCAGGGACGAGCTCTGCCTCACGTAACCCTACAGAAACTGGCTGGAGCACGGGCACTAATTTAGCGCAAGCACTTATTTTGTGCCCGCACTCCAGCCAGTTACTGTGGGGTAAGGTGAGGCACAGATTAGATCTGCCTCACCTCAGATGCGTCACCCCACAGAAACTGGCTGGAGTGCGGGCACTAAGCGCATGCCTGCACCATCTCACTGTATGTCACAAATGTAATGTTTGTAGATCCCTTTATTACATTTATCCTCGCCATCCATAGTCTCTAAATAACTTATTTCACATATATATGATATTTAGGCTTGCTGGTCTCATCATACAACGGCAATGAAAAAAGCACCAGGGGTGGCAGCCATAACCTCTGCCGCACTGAAGGAGGCTTCTTGTTGCTACTGTTATTCTACGCAGAGACGGTAGACGCAAACAACAAGCTATACTTTTGAAACTAGAGGAAGATAAGGAGGACTTTTAGAAAAAAGTAATAAAGATTGTTGTCCAGAAGGATAGCATGGACTTTATCTTCAAGTCAAGGTAAGACAACAATTGGAAAGAAAATGGGATCTTACTAAGAGAGAACAATCCAATATTTAAATTTTGGGTATCCTTTTGTTGAAGGGTCTGTTTAAAATTAATCGAAACATCAGACTAAAAAAGCTATATTTGTAAATCTGACTCTGAAAGAGTCAGTGCCTCACCATGAACATCACCGCTGGGTAGTGTTACCTTACCAGTGGACCAAAGCTCCACAGGGCACCAACCTTTAAAGACTATGGCCAGACTGGACTGAGGACTGGTCATGAGACTTACCTGCACAAGATTCAAGCCTTGGATGCAGTTCTTCACTTCCTTTATAAGTTTCACTTTGTCAGCTGCCTTGAATTCTGTCAGTTTTACTATGAAGTGAGTCTGCTCTTTCTTGACTGGTACGTCCTCCTCTTCTGCAGCCTAGTTTCACACAAAGAAAAAATAATAGCAAATGTATTAGTTCTCTTACATGACAACAAATCTGACAAAGGACCTACATGTTTTACCATAACAAGTCTGAAGTGTTCATTCAAAGTAGTAGTTTATGATTGTGTTGTAGCAGACAAAGTTATACTGTTAGGTGTTTCAATTTCCTCTACTCTCTGTACTTACTGGCGCAGATATAGCTGAGGCATGCATCGCCCCCATCGGCATCATCCCAACATCCTGAATGTTCAGAGTTTTCTGCAACCAACACAAACAGATCATTACCCAACATGTCACCACAGATATATCACAAACAATATCTGACAGGGGGTAAGATGGGTTAGATTCAGTGACTTATTCCACTAACCTTGAGGAGCTCATTAAGGTCCGACACCTCTAATAAAGTGAGAGTGGCTATGTCGTTGACCAGCTGTTGGATTTTGGGAGGGTACTGTTTGGGCGCTCCGTCTAGTAGAGGGGAGGCAATGGTTTCTGAATGTGTGGCAGGACTGGTCTTCAGGAGTCTGAGAGCACACCAGGCTGGTGTTTGCCGCTGAAGCTGTGACCTGGAAAAATACAATATATTGAAAACAATTATTCAGAGTTTCAGATGAAAGACAGAGTCAACTGAGAGCATCTGCAGCAAAACATCTGGCATCGGCACACCAAATGTTTGGGATGTATCTCACATGCCAGACATGCACTCCAACATGTATTTAATGGATGCATTTGAATTACCAATGTACCACTGACCAGTTAATGCCAATCTTGCTATTTATATCTGCACATTATGTATGTTTGTGACCCCTTTAAAAAGTGTGTAGTTTAGAGAAACCTTATACAAGACCTGTTTAAATGATTACTCTTTATAAAACTGATTTGAATACTTTTAAGAGGTTGAAGAGGTAAAATAATGCAGTTATTTAAAAGACACAAGTATGAATGAAACCAAATGTGTATTAGCTTATCGACTGTTGGTAGGACAAATCATTAAATGAGCACCTATTCTGATTACTAGCTAGTACCATCTATTTCTTCTTTTTTTAAATTTCAGGCAAAAATAACCAACATTCCTAAGCTTCTGAGTTATGAGAAGTTGCCTTTTTCCCGTGTCTTTCGGAGGTGGATGAAATATTTAGATAATTTACTTGGGTTAAAATACCAACACCACACTGTAATAAATACTGTTACAAGAAAAAGTCCTGCATTGATATTCATACTAGAAGGTGAAATACAACAGTGTTAGCATGGAAATATACTTAAACCATCAAAAATAAAAGTACTAATTTGAATGCAGAATGGCCTCCTTTCTGAATAATGTAAATGTAATTACTGGAATATAAATTGTGATGCATTAATGTCTTCATCAATGGTGGAGCTTATTTTGGCTACTTTTTATGCTGATAGATAGTTCAATTGGAACACAGTAACACCATACTGTACTAGATTATTTTACATTAATAATTTGGTTTTCAGATAGATGGTTCACTATGAGATGCAGTGGGGGAAAAAAGTCATAGAAAATAGAAGTACTCAAATAAAGCACCTCAAATGTTATCTTAAGAACAGGACAGAGTAAATGCACTTGTGAGTGTTTGAGCTAAAGTCCTAAAAATAGATATTAGAAGAAAGTCTGCCATTAAACCAGAATTACTTTGTTATGCTAACCACCTTGTGACCACTCACATATACCCTTTGACTCTTTATAGAGGGTGGGGGGGTTACACCTAGGCTACATTAGGATGGGAAGCTATGCTCTCTGAGATGAATGCTTTGTTGTACAGACATCATCTACTACTGATAGTTTTGTTGGCTGCACTTGCACACGGTTGATCGCTGATCATGTAACCTGTTATTCGTGTTTACTAAGGAGATGCCGCTTGCGGTTATTTGACCATCATAAACACAAATTACAAGGCACACGAGTGTGACCTTGGTGACGTTAGCCAGAAGAAAATGTCAAACTGCTGCTACTTTTAGATTTTCCAACCACACTTAAGACGAGGACAACGCTTCTTAATGCCACTAAATGCTTACTATTGTGTTAAAGCAGTTTAAGGCTGTAAGGTTTAAGTTACTGCTGGCTAAAGCTAACGCTAGCTGACTTACTTAGCGCATTGCTACGGAATTTACAGCCATGCATCTTCAGCATTCAGACAAACTACAGTGACAAATGCATGTGTTACATCAAGAATAACCGGCAGCAGTCACCGGCTGTCTGCCCTTGAAGATGCAAGCAGTCAGACCCTGATGTACCGTTAACCGCTGCCGGTGTTACGTGACAGACTGGCGGCTGCTCTGTAACGTTACGTACCGTTGAGTGGTCGCCACAACCCGCAGCGCGGTCCGGAGGCAGCGTCTGGTGCAGTACATGCTTGCGGTAACTGAAGTCGTATATTCCGGTGTCCCTAAAAAATAAAACAAGTCTGTCACTTCGCTGTCTCCTCTCAGTCCCTCTGCCTCAAAAGCACATGGCGTCCTTTCCGATCCTGACCTACCCACAATGCATTGCGCGAGTCGTGACCTGCTAAAAAAAATACGGGAACCGCGGAGGGACAAAAGAAACCATATATAAATAAATGTAATGCTGACATTGTACAGATTAAAGTAATACTCTTTAAAGGTGTATACGTTTATTCAAAGTAAGTAGGCTACTTTCATGAATACTACCTGCATTAATTACATACACGTATTTTCGGAAGAGGTGACTCTGAAACGATGCAGTTCCTGAGAACAAATTACTTGGCATTTTTTGTAGTAAGTAACATAATTCATTGGTTGAAAGCAATGTCACCTAATCACACATAATTTTGGATTACTTAAAAATCAAACATTGAAAATATTGCACCTTTGAGCTAAAAAATAATGTTTTGTTATCACTAACAAGCTCAAAACATTTAAAAAGAAAATGCTAATAATGCTGCATATTCAGCATGTTAATTTATAGTATTGTTTTTTTATCATAAACGAAGTTTCATAATTTTAAAATTGCCAAATGGAAATCAAAATAAATACAGGATGTATTAAATAAAGTCAGGGAAAGATTTTTTGTTGTTTTTGCTCTCCTGTTAAGTTGGGTAAATTCAGTCTGGTTCTGATTACCTTTGCATTCTTAGCATATTTTAAGATTTTGTATCTTGTCATGACCATAACCACATATTTGCAATGAAAACTCATGATTCAAACACATTCGGGTTCAATATGATAAAGCACATGACAATATGATACCACGTTTCATGACGTGTTCATGTTGACTGCTCTTCAGACACAGACTTATAGTATTAATTGAACTCCCTGTGTTTTCTCTGTCCTACCTGTAGTCAAGTGCTGAACACCGGGGATGAACACATAGGGAATCCTCTTAACCAGGTAATCTCTGTACCCATCTGCCGTCACGTTCATAAACCACAAACAGCCTCCACAAATATGCCATTTCCCAGCTAGTCTCTGTCAACCAGCACAAGTTATTGTAAGAGGAATCCTCTGAGACAGAATATCATTGCATAGGCTGGAAATACAAGATGACAGGGTAACATGTCCTTCTGTTTTTCTCCAACAGACCATGCTGCTTTCCCCTCTGGCGGAGAGGAACTGGGAGGATCTGTGTTTAGTGCTTGAAGAGGTGCTGGATGACCAGTCCCACAGGCAGCTGTTTGCCTTAGAGCTGGGCTCTGGAACTGGGCAGCACGTCATACGCTTTGCCCCGAAGATGCCCTTTGTTACCTGGCAGCCATCAGATGTCAATGAAGAGTCAAGGGACAGGTTTGTGCCTTATAGAAAAAAGTATTCTGATATTTTTGCTCACACAGTAGGCCTACACATGTAGTTTGTGCCAGTAATGTTTAGGATTAACAATGATAAGGATAACTTGATTTGGCCAACTTTGAATGCTCAATGCCTTTTTTTTTTGTTGCACTGAAACAGTTTTGAGAAAGGACATTCGTGAAACGTAACTTTTTTGTGGCTACGTCCAGTGTTAGTATAAGGTGCATTACTTGTAATATTTTATTTTGAAATAATACAGCATTTTCCAGGTTAGAACATTTTTTTCATATATTAATTTATTATATTCCTCACAAAAAAACAGATCTGAAATAGCAGGAAGAGATATATTAAAAGGTGATTTTACAAACAAAATGTAAGCTTAATTCTGCATACTCATTTACAGTATTAAGGCATATATTGCTGCAACCCATGCAAAGAATGTGCTGCAGCCTGTTCACCTGGATGCCAGCGAACCGTGGGAGAAATGGGCAGGCCTTTCTAATAACTCCTGTGATGTTGTTGTTGCCATCAATTTACTGCAATACAGCTCCTTCAAAACAGCACAGGTGCGTCTGATTAACTAAACAAAAAAAATTACTAAAACACAGATCTCAAAATGTGGCGTTCATTTTTCTGATTATTTTCCAAGGGTGTTTTCAATGGAGCAGGGAAGATCCTTCGACAAAATGGTCTTTTGATTACATACGGGGTACGTAGGCTACCTTTAGTTATTACGTTTATTATGCACTCAGAATGGCTATATATGTCACCATGAAATTGTGAATTGAGACCTTTAACAATCCTAAACATGTTCTAGGTGTATGCTATTAATGGCATCATTACACCAAGTAGTAACGAACACCTGGATGCAGAGATTCGACAAAAGTGAGTGCCATTTTTTCCCTCCAGTACAACATGGCAACACTATGTCTAGAGTAAATACTTATTGAATGCTGTTACACAGGAATCCAGAGTGGGGTCTTCCAGATATCGACGTGTTGAGACAGTTGGCCTATGGGAACGAGATGCGTATGGAGCGGATTGTAGGTCACACTTCTGTAGTTTGCGGTATCTATATTTTAATACAACTACTATGAACTACTTAAACATGTATTTTTTTTCTAATTTTCAGATTGAGATGGAAGAATTCTACAAATGCCTCATCTTCAGAAAACTTGAGAAGAACCAAACAGCTTGAAGAATAAAAACAAAACGTTATTTTTTATCATGAGTCCATGTAATGCTATGGCCTTTACCCCTCTTATTGGAACATGTTTGAATATGACATGGAACACAATACTATGGAAAGTTACAAAGACGATAAAGCAAGTGGACAATAAGAACCAGATATTTATTAAATATAGTTTTAAAATTACCTTTAAAGTCAGACAGATCAGTATGATGGAATAAAGAAGTTCACAGATGGCAACTGAATACATACATACATACATGCGGCACATAATTTTCCCTCAGCAAGCAATTCCACATTTGTTGAGAGCAGAGTACACTTTAGAAAAGAGTCCCCAATTGTACTTACTATGTATATTATGATCAGGGACATTTGCTCTAAGGATGGGTGCCAAGAGGCCCTTTGCAGTTATTATTAGGTTTGAAGTCCTATGGTTCTTTCAGTCTGGTCTTATCTTGTGACGGTGCGTTATCATCGGCATCACAAATCATTTTAATAAACAGATGCAGAATTATATTAGAGTTGCTGTATAGCTTTAGTAGCTTTTTTAGTCACTAGTTATGTCATTTTAATTATTAAACTATATGAAAGTATATATTTACTGGGGATTAAACAGCCACCCAAGTCATTTTAAGACACTCTTCATACAATGTACAATCCCTGCAACGTGTTTTGTCATTTAGGAAACTACATTACGACATCCGAAATTCCAAGCAGTGCACAACGAATAAAATGCCAAAACAGTAGAAGATAACCCTAGTTTGTGTGCTCATGAGAAAGGATGGAAATAAAACTAGTTCAGCTGGAATGGCGAACTGACGGAGATGTGAGTTAGTGCCATTTATTTCCTATCCCTAAACATCCCCCTTTATCCTCACACCCACAATCTCTTAAAGACAGCTTTTCTCAATCACTGCCCAAATTGTTCGGTAGTTGCAGCAATTCACTTCCATTCCATAAAATAATGAAAATTGAACATGCAGTTTTGATTTAGAAAAATATGAGACAAAGGATGGTTAAGTCTTGCCCTTTTCTCCTCAATTATTATATTTTTGTATTCATTTTTTTTTTTTACCTTGACACCACTGACTATTTCTGAGCTTCAGTTAATCATTTAATAAGGAAAACGACATACATATCACCAGGAAAGAGGGGAGAAGAGGTCGAAAGGGTCGGGGTTATGGTGCCCTCTTTTTGCAGCGTCACCCGACATTTCCATTCTTCAATGGAGGTGATGCAAAGAGGGAGAGAGTTCTGCAACATCATCACAATATTTTACATTGCCACAACATCACAGCAAGGTCGGAGGTGAGGGGGGTGTGTTTCCAGGGGGCAGAGAGTCCAGAGAGTGAGGTGAAAGACCAAAGGAGAGGAGAGGGTGTAGTGGGTGGGACTGCAGCCTGCAGGCTTTTAGTCGAAGGAGATGAGCTGAGCCTCTGCACTGCCGGGCACAGCCTGAGGAACATGCTGCTGTTGCTGCTGCTGCTGCTGCTGATGTTGTTGCTGTTGTTGCTGCTGCTGCTGGCCTCCAGGGGGGGCCACCTAGTAAGAAAAGAAGGTTCATATGGATACAAATTAAGGTTTGGCTTAAAGTAACCTGAAAAATAAGTAAAAATACCCAAAAATCATTGAGATAGCACTGCTTATATCTGTTTAGAAGACAAACCAGTGTCCAAAAGTCAAAGGTGATGTCTTTGTCTCTAGAAAAGCTCCATATCTCTAAGACGCTGAAAAATGTTTATATAATAAACAAAATAGTTGTGGATCATTTTTCTCTTCATCGACTAATCGTTGCAGCTCTACTGCTGGTGGCTGAGAAAAAAGAAAAGGAGCTGACCTGTTGGTACATGGGCGGCTGTCCTTGCATGTACTGTTGGGGGGGCATGTTGGGGTCCTGTCCTGGCAATGCTGAAATCATGTTCTGCATGGGGTAAGGCTGGTAGCCCATGTAGCCCATACCGTTAGTGGGAGCAGGCTGCGACATGGGGGGCAAACTCTGTGCCTGCGAGACCACATTCTGCTGAAAAGAGCACAACAGTTAGAAGGCTTTATGAATGAAAACAATTAAACATGAAACTACTCAGCTGCCAAAACATTATTCATACCAGCAACAACGTAAGTTTGCAACAGTTCAATAATTGTTTAAATATGCGTATTCTACAGGAAAAAGCTGAATGCATATCATCTATATATCAACGTATCACTGCACTATTTATTTAGAAACAAATACAGTGTGTTGTGTGCAGTTGGTATAAAATAAAACAGAAAGAGATTGGTAAACGCTCCATTTCTGCTTTTAACTGGGAGTGATTCTAACCTGGTAGCCCTGTGTGGGTGTGGGCTGATAGTTGGAGTAAGGTGGACTTGTAGTGGGCGGAGCTTGACCGGGAGGAGGAGCAGGCTGCCCGTTGGTGCCTGCAGCCTGGTACATGTATGCATTAACCATATTTGGATCTGGGAAATAAGACAATCATTCAGAAACAGAAGAACACTTGATTTAAAAACACTCGAGTATCATTTGTAAATTTATATTTTGCAGTCAGGCAAACAATAATAGAAGATTTCTTAAGCTATCAAAAGCACATCTCCTCACCTGGGGCAACATTGGGCATGGCCTGGTACTGTGGAGGTGCATTCTGCCCTGACTGATTCATATAGATGTTGTGCATAGGTGAACCCTCCACAGAACCAGCTGGGCTGAAGGTGCCCGGGTAGCTGGGTGGAGCACCAGGCTGGTACACCACCCCTCCCGCCACATTGGGGGGCAAAGACTGCATCTGCAGCAAAATCATATAATATCAGACATTTACTCAACAACATACTTATGAAGAGGTGAATATTCGCTTTTCATTGGAATGTGAAAACATGACCAATGAAATGAAATGTACTGCAGTGAATTAGCCTGACAGCTGACCATGGAGCATGCGGTGTGTACCTGGGCATATGGCAGAGAGAAAGCAGGCATTTGTGCTCTCATCTGGATTGTGTGTTTCTGCTGCTCCAGACGCATCTGCCTCTCCTTCTCCTGGTCCTGGAGGCGCTGAATGGCCAGCTGTCTCTGCATTTCCAGGTACTCCTGCAGATCAAAGACAAACACTTGTGAGCATGATAATGAACAGTCTAACAATATGGGCATTATAAGTGGAGAGGCTCATTTCAATACCTGTTTCTTCTGCCTCATGATCTCCAGTTTCTGAGCCAGCTGGATCTGCCTCTGTCTCTCTGACTCCTCGGCGGCACGGCGCAGCTTCTCTCTGTGTTCGTCCCGCAGTGAGTTGAGGGCCGCCCGAGCATCTCGCACCTGAGCCAACTTGTCCTGCAGCCCCTCGTAATACACTGCGGACAACAACCATGATGTGATGGGTCAGAGACTGAACGCTAAGCATGTGTGCGATTCAATTGGTAAACATGACTTCATGCACACTCACATCGCTTCTCATCCAGCTGGTTGAGGATGTCCAACAGCTGAGGATGCATGTTGTTGATGGACTGGAAGAGTGAGAGCACAGCGCTGTCGTTGGTGATGCTGCGCCCACGCATGTGGTTGCTCTTCATGCGGTTAAGGAAGGTGGTGACGGAGTTCTGCAGAGCCTTCAGAAACTGCTCATGGTTCTCCTCCGACTCTCCGTTCTGGTAGGGCTGCTGAAGGTGAGGACGAGCGGGAGGCAAAACACAGAAAGTCAGTCGTTGTCTGCACATTCAAGATAGAAGTAAAGAATGGTACTACACACATTTGCTTTAAACTCAGAGTTACAACAAACCTCCACTATGCTGACTGGCTGCACAGGGACATGAGTTTCTACTGGCTGACTGATGGGTGGAGCAGGCTCAGCCAGAGGCACGGGGGCCGGGGCTGAGGGGGTGGGACTCTTGCGAGCCTCTTCTTGTTTCTTCTCCCAGTAGGTTCTGTTCAGGTAGCGGGCCAGCTGGAAGATTGTGAAATGATACCATCAGTATTATGAACACAATGCAACATGTATAGTAGTATATCTTAATATGGGTGTAGGGAAAGAGAGATAGCACATCATAGTACCTCAGGGTCCACATCTTCAGCTGATGGAGCAGAGGAGTTCTGGAGAAAGCATATTGATCCCATTGATGAGTGATAAAACATATGTGGGTAAATAATTCAGTTTGCCAGAGAGAAAGGCAGCTTGGGAAGGAGTCTTACCACAGGGGAGGTGTAGAGGGTGCTGACAGGCGGTGCTGAGGAAGTCACTGGAGTGGGATCAGCTTTGGGATACATTGAGTAGGAGCTCTTATGCCTCTGTAAGAAGACATATGTAGGAATGGGTTTCTGTCTATAAACAGGATGAAGAAATACAAATGAGAGTTTTAGCTGTGCAACCCACCATGCGCTCCTTCTCCTCCGCCTCACTTTGGGAGAGGGCGATGGCCATCTGCAGCTCCTCCTCCTCCTGCAGAGCGGCCTCGTCTCTCTTCGGGGGCATCTGGTGAGAGAGCAGACCCAGAAACAGCACACAAAAATCCATTAACGGATGGTGGAACAAAATCATTCAAATACAGTGCAGGGTGAGTGCACAAAGAACAAGAAAATGTGTCAAAGCATCATATATACATTTATTTCAAAAGTAACCAGAATGACTATGCCATTACATTTTCCACTTCTACCTGGGACTGTTGGGACAGCGGGCTGGTCAGGTACTCAGGAGGCAGCTCGACTGCACTTGGGGTGGGGGCTTTCCCCTCAGCTTTCCTGAGAGGAGGAGAGAGGGAGGGGTGGCTGGGAAAGAGAAGGGACAGGGAGGACAAACAATGTGTCAATTAGGAGAGAGAATTCTGCTGCTTGAGACACCGAGATCTCTACAGAGAATACTATGCAACATCTTCTACATGGGCTATTATGATAAATCAGATGTGTCTTGGAATCATCATCAAAACACAGATGCTTAAGCAGAGTAATGTTCAGGTTTTAAAAAGGTTTAGGTCAGTCAGTCAGAATCATTACTACAAAATGATGGTCATTTCAATTGTTCACATTGCTAAAAGTAATTTTCAAGCATTGCTCACAGTAGATATATATACATTGAAAATGAGTTTGCAAATCAAAAGCATGTTGGTCATACAAGCAGTTATAAAAAGCTGGCATATTAAAAGAAACAATTAATTTTTTCAGGTTATCTAATGTTAACATTAAAAGAACAAAACTAAATTGAGATAGAACAGAACAACAGGAACTCCTTGGTGGAAGTAGTAAACAGAATAAGTCAAGGAACATATCAACAATATGATGCTTGGGATCGAGAGCAAGGGAATGATTTACAATGCCAGTGCCATACTGCAGCTAATGAAGTCCTCTGCAGATATGACGCACTGTTGAGAGACACTTTACTTCAAACTCTGAGAAGGAAATCCATACTACCATACCATACCAGCGTCGGGGACTCACTTGTTAAGCAGCTCAAAGCAGGGCTCACACACACGCACTTCCTTCTCTATGCCGAACTTGGGAATGGTGGAGTACTTAGACGAACACTTGCCACAGAAGATCTGGCCACAGGCTCGACAATGGTGCTGGAAAAACAAAGAACACAAATTGAGATCAACTTCCGCACATGCGCAATAAACATACGCAATGTGCTGTAAATGAATGAAGGAAACCGTACATTCTCCAAGAGCCGTAGTTTAAAGAAAGCCCAGCCTACCTTTCTTGTCATGACTCCAAACTGGACTCTGCACCGGTGGCACTCCTCGGCATCAACCCAGTCCGGGGCCTGGAC